CGGATCATCATAAATAAGGGTTGCCAAGATTCGGTGAGATAATGCAAGTATACAGCCTAGCACACAGGGCCTAACATCTTTCTCAACCATGCCGGTTATTGTTACTCCTGCTGACTCATGGCCCCTGCTGTTTCGTGTATCTGGATCAGACTACCCCCAGCACACACACCTGCCTGCCACGCTTCCCCCGGCTCTCTCGTATCTAAGCTTCAGGTCTCAACCTTAGATGTCACCTTCTCTGAGGCCCTCGTCTGGGCTAACGTGTGTTCCCACAGCTCCCACGCTGTCCCACCCCAGCACGCATCTCAGGACCATGATGACCTGGTGGCTTGTCCATCTCCCCAACCAGACTGTGAACTCTTTGAAGACAACAGTGTGGGTTATTGAGCATTTTGTGTTATGCTCTCAGTATCTGGCACACAATAGGTGCTCAGTAAATATCATCTGGACAAATGGAGGAATGAATGAATGGCAGTATGAATGGGTGGGTGGATGGGTCAATTAATGGATGGATGGATGAATGAATGGAAGGATCAGTTAATGGATGCATGGATGGATGGATGGATGGATGGATGAGTTAATGGATGGATGGATGGATGAGTTAATGGATGGATGGATGGATGGATGATGAATGGATGGATGGATGGATGAGTTAATGGATGGATGGATAGATGATGGATGGATGGATGGATGATGGATGGATGGATGAGTTAATGGATGGATGGATGGATGGATCAGTTAATGGATGGATGGATGGATGAGTGGGTGGATGGATGGATGGATGGATAAATATATGCACTGTCTTGCTCATTCATTCATCTGAGGACAGAGTAGGGGGCTGGGAGAAACCCTGAGGTGTCATATGCTAGCGTCACGGTGCCCCAAGTCCTGAGCCTGCACCCTGAGCCTGGGAACTGGTCCTTGCTCTCATCCTTGCAGCTGGGGAAGAGGATTGATACCATTGTGATGATATTCGACTGCGAGGGCCTGGGGCTGAAGCACTTCTGGAAACCTCTGGTGGAAGTGTACCAGGAGGTGAGGAGAAAGCCCCATGGCGCCCCTGCGTGGTTTAAGGACCAGCTCGGCTTGCTGTGACCCGGCTGCTCACTCACAGCCAAGATCTGGTCAAAGGTGGTAGCCTCCCGGGGCCCCAGCATGCGACTCAGGACCCAGAGACATGCTTCCTAGAAGGCCCCGCAGGACAGGCCTCGGGACAACACTGTATGGAGACCATTGGGGCGAGTTTCCTCCATGGCCTCCCCAGCCCTGTCACCCCCAGCTCTGTGAATTGAGCAAGTTATTGGGGATAAAGATAGTCTGCATTTTGGAGGGATACACGGATACTCCGGCGAGTTAATATGTAAAGTGTATACACTGCGCTTGCAAATACTGAACATTTACTAGTAATAAATAGTAGTCATTATTATTACGATACTATCATTACTGTAATCTTACTTCAAATGATTATTATGATATGGTTGCAATAGTCTGAGGTGAGAAGTTCCCCTCCAAGGGCCAGGTGAGGTGATGGAAAGGAGGGGAACGCTCCCCAGCTCTCTGGATTGCAAAGGCGGGGGGTGGGAGGGGTAGGGAGAGATGAGGTGCGGGCTCTGAGGGGGTCTTTCTTGGTCCCACAGTTCTTTAGCCTCCTTGAAGAGAATTATCCGGAGACGCTGAAGTCCCTGTTCATTTTGAAAGGTGTGCGGCAAGTGACTTTTCTTTTTCCTCATCTGTACCCTGGGGATGAGAATAGCGCCTTCTTCCCTGGGTTTCAGGGGGACAGGTGGGTTGCTTGGCTGCATGCAAATCACTTAGAATGCCTGGCCCAGAGCAAGCGCTCCCTACATGGAAGCTTCTGTGGTCGGCCTCACCGCACAGGAGGCAGCTCCAGCCCCAGCTCTTTCAGGACCCCCTCCCCCCAGCTCTCCTGCCTCATTGATCTCTCCCTTCCTAAACTGCCTCTGGCCTTTCTTGTCTGCTGCCTTCTGGGGCCACCAGTTGTCCTGTGTGTATTCATCCTGTTTTCCTTGCTGGGTTTTCCACTCCTTGAAGCCTGGGGCCATGTGGATGATCCCTGGGTATTTGGGTGGTTGTCATTTGAGTGGGTGGAGGGAAGGGTGGATGTATGTTTGATGGTTGGCTGGTTGATTGGTTGTTGATTGGTTAGTTGGTTGGTTGGTTAGTTGGTTGTCTAGTTGGCTAGCCAGTTAACTGGTTGTTTAATTGGCTTGTTGGTTTGATGATTAGCTGGTGTGTTAATTGGTTGTTCGACTATTAGATAGGTTGGCTGATTGGTTGGTGGGCTGGTTAGACAGTGAATTTATTGGAACTTTGTTGGCTGATTGGTTGATAGACTGGATGACTGACTGAATGGTTGGTTAGTTGTTGCTTGTTGGTTGGTTGACCAGTTGGCTGGATGGTTTGTCAGGTGCAGGGCATTGAAGTTTGCCGAGGCAATTCATGATTCCGCCATATTGTTGGCTATGACTGTTATGGAGAGGGTGGGTCGATGGAACTCTTTTCTCCCCATTATCTTTGCTTGTATCTCTCCAGCCACCAAACTGTTCCCTGTGGGCTACAACCTCATGAAGCCCTTCCTAAGTGAAGACACTCGCAGGAAAATCATAGTGTTGGGAAGTAAGTAGTCCTAGTTGCATCCCCTGAGCTTTGTGCATGAGCTTTGGGGTGAGGTGGCACCATCACTCCACCCAGAGATCCACACATCACCTCGAGGCAGAGACTCCTGTTTCTCAAGGGTGAGGCGGGTCTTACACTGTGGCGTCTCCCCAGTGACCTCTGCCTCATTCCCTGTTATTGGTGACTAAGGCTTTCACGCCTTCCTCCTTATTGGTTTCAGTTGGTTGCTAGTCAACCTCTGGGCTACGGGCCTCAGTGTCCTTTCAACTCTCATCATCTCAGTACTTCTAAAGGCAATTTGGGCTTAGGAAAATGAGGAAAAAGAGCAGGAAAAGGAGACGTGATTCAGAGAAGGGAGGCTCAGCCAGAAGGGACTGGATAAGTAAATAATGCATGCACTTGATAAATGATTGGGCAGCCATGAAAAATGATTTGCTGTCATGGGAAAGGTCCTTAAGCTTTTTAAAAAGTTGATTATAAAGAGGTGTGACTAGTTAAAAACAAGGTACATTTCTAGAAGATACATTTCTGTGAGACAATTAAAGAACTCTTATTCAATGACTGGAGACTCTCAAAAATGTGCAAACCCATCAGCCAAGGGGAAAACATGTTTCCATAGCAACACGATGCTGGGAGACTCTTCCTGCAGCCTGAGGCCTGGGAGGCTGGGGAGTGGCCCTGGCAGCCGAGCTTCTGTGTGGTTTCTCCCTGAGCTCAGGTCCTCCTGGTGGGAGCGGGGGTGGGGGAGGGGGGGCAGGTTCCCTTCATGCCCAATAACTGTCCTTCAACGCCTCTGACCCCAGACAACTGGAAAGAACGTTTGCTGAAATTCATCAGTCCTGAGGAACTGCCTGTCCAGTATGGGGGGACCATGACTGACCCAGATGGGAACCCCAAATGTTTAACTAAGGTACAGAGACCCCCTAAGACAGGGAGGGGAGGGGAGTAGAGCTGAGTTGCTTTCTCACCCTCTCATTCATTCCACAAATGTTTATGGAGACACCCCTGTGAGCAAGGTGTGGAGCCACACAGGCCCAGCCCTGCCTTTCAGCAGCTGTGCAGGCGAACAAGGAATGAGGACATTTTGGCCAGGAGGGATGAGCTGGAAAAGGAAGTTCCCAGAGGAGGCCCTGACCCAGCCTGGAGGGTCAGGGGTGGGGCAGGGGAGGACAGGATGAGCAGAATACTTCCAGGAAATGGTGAAAGCATCTCGGGCAGATGTACCAGCATGAACAATGCAAGGGCTGGAAGCTGGGAGCCAGCCCATCCCATCCTATGTCCGCAGATCAACTACGGTGGGGAGATCCCCAAGTCCATGTACGTGAGGGACCAGGTAAAGACTCAATACGAGCACTCCGTGCAGATCAGCCGCGGCTCCTCGCACCAGGTGGAGTATGAGATCCTGTTCCCGGGCTGTGTCCTCAGGTAGGGACAGGCCACTGACCCACCCCTGGCTGGGGACTAGCCCCTCGGGGACCCCTCAGACTGAGCGGTAACTCGTCCCTCGTCCCCCACCCATATCCAGGTGGCAGTTCTATTCGGATGGGGCAGACATCGGCTTCGGGATTTTCCTGAAGACCAAGATGGGGGAGCGGCAGAAGGCGGGGGAGATGACGGAGGTGCTGCCCACCCAGCGCTACAACGCCCACATGGTGCCGGAGGACGGGAGCCTCACCTGCTCCGAAGCTGGCGTCTGTAAGTGCGCCCCAGCCGGGACCCAGCTCCTGGAAGCTGCCGTCACCTGTCCCAGGGTGTAGAGAAGGAAACAGAAGGAAACAGAGGGGCGCTGCCCCAGGCACACAGCCGAGGTTAACCCCATTCATTCACAAAGCTGCTCATTTGGTTCATCCTCACCCGAGGATATTTTTCCATTGATCTTTTAGAGAGAAACAGGGATGTGAGAGAAACACATCCATTGGTTGATTGGTTGATTGGTTGATTGGTTGCCTCCCGCACGGCCCCTACCAGGGCCCGGGCCTGGGAGGAGCCTGCAACCAAGGTATGCGCCCTTCCTTGACCGGAATCGAACCCAGGACCCTTCAGTCCGCAGGGCGACACTCTATGCCCTGAGCCAAACTGGCCAGGGTTTGAAGCTGCTCATTTGGTCCACACCTGTGTGCACCAAGAGCCAGGGACCCACGGACCCTACAGGGGTTGAGAAACCTTGGTTCCCGGGACACAGGCCAGGGGTGATGGGACAGGTGCAACTCTCCCCAGGAGGAAGCTGAGATCAGAGAAGTCAGTCAGCTTGTCCAGAGCCGCACAGCCGCGTGCGGGGCCAGGTTGCCACCTCAGCCTCGTGCTCGCCGTGTAACCTTGGGCGAAAGTCTTTCCTGCCTGGACCCTTGGTTTGCACTCACCTGTGAAGCAGAGATTACAAGCCCTGCTTCTTGGGGTGCCCGTGGGGGAGGCAGAGGGCATGTGCAGGCTTGGCCCAGAACCCCAGGGGCCGGGAGGCCTCTGATGGCCCCCCGCCAGCCCCCATTATGCAAGCATCCAGGTGTGAAGACAATGGGATGCCGTGGCCATTGTTCTGGTTGCCAGTCTGTGCAACTAAAGCCAGGCTGGACACGGGCCAGCAGGAGGTCAGCGTCTGTTTACAGGCCCTGCTCAGGGGTGGCCGTTCCCATGGGGAAGGAAACAGTCGTGGTGGGAACTTGGCTCCGCTCGGCAAACACAGGAAGGGGGAACACAGCCAGTCCTCCCCCGTGGCTGGGGCAGGGACACAGGAGTGTCAAGCCAGGGCCAACCACCTGTGTGTCCCTCTGTCCCCCCAGACGTCCTGCGCTTCGACAACACCTACAGCTTTGTCCACACCAAGAAGATCAGCTTCACGGTGGAGGTACTGCTCCCAGACAAGGGCATGCAGAAATACGACGAGGAGCTCACCCCCATCTAGGTGCTGCGTCGCTGCACAGAGATCTCTGGCCCCCCGTTTTGCCTACATATCTCCTATCCTCCCGCCAGAAACTGATCATTAGTTCTCCTGAGCCTGACAGTAATGAGTAGAGAAGGAGCCGCTTTGGGGGAAGATTCAGATGCTGTGGTCACATCAGGAAAGGTATGAGAGCCACAGCCTTGGAGGAGGCCAATGCTGCAGAAGAGAAAGAAGCAAGGGTCAAAGCAAGATGTAGAGGTCACGGAAACCCAAGAAGTAGAAAAGCAAATCTCCTACCCTTTGCCCCCACATCTCCTAAGTTGCTTGAATTTCTTTCCTAAGAACTAGGAGCCTGGCCAGCGTGGCTCAGTGGTTGAGCGTCGACCTATGAACCAGGAGGTCACGGTTCAATTCCGGGTCAGGGCACAGGGCTAGGGTGTAGGCTCGATCCCCAGTGGGGGGCAGACAGGAGGCAGCCAATTCATGATTCTCTCTCAGCATTGATATTTTTATCTCTCTCTCTCCCTCTCCCTTCCTCTCTGAAATCAATAAAAATATATTTAAAAAAAAAGAACTACGAGCAATTTGGGTTGGAGATGTATCTAAATTTTTTTTTACTTCTACTCCCTGTATAGCGGATGTATGTAAGGAGTACAACTTCACAGTGTGTCCTTGTGAAGTTGAACGGAGATAGGGAGCAGGTGATCATGGACAGGCATGAGGGGAAGGCGCCTGACTACCCGGGCAGATTTCAGCACCTTGGACAGGAGCAGAGCTCTGGAGGGGGATGGACTATCCTGGAGACTCAGGCAATCAGCCCCCAGATTTCTGGCAGTGGCTGCCCCCTGGGGGGTCGGTAGGCGATGCTCCCATGAAGACTCTATCTGATTCAGGGTGCAGAGCTCCCCCGTCCAGCACTCCCACCCTCATTTCTTTCCCTTGGAACTTACAGATGTGTTTTAAACAAAGGGACTTTCCTGGGAACAAAGGAAGTCATATCTGACCCTAGCAGCTGTCTGGCGATAATAATGATAATGATAATGATAATAATAATAATAATAATAATAAATAATAATATCAGAGCTATCACTCAGCGAGTGCTCTCTGTGTACCACACAGACTGCCAAGTGCTTTATGAGTTTAGCTTGTTTCACTCTCCTGCCTCCCCCGGGGCCGTTCATCGCGGCCACCTGATGGACAAGGGAACGAAGGCTCAGAGAGGTGAAGTCACTCACCCAACATCACACAGCTGTTCTGTAGCGGTTCCAAAACCCAAGGTGGGTTTTTTTTGTTTGTTTGTTTGCTTTTTCTTTACTCCAAAGACATTGCTCTTAATTGCCCCATAATACCACTTCTCTAAGGCCCTTCGTGTACAAAGAAGGAGAGAAGGAGTGGCTTGTTTATTCTAGACCTTCTAGTAGACGTGGCCTGGAGGTCACCATCTCCAACCCACGTCTGTGGGGATAGGAGGTGTTATGCCCATCGGGCAGCTGGAGCAATGGAGACACTCATCCAAGGAAACTCGCAGAAGGCCAGGCAGGGCTTGTGCCCCAAAGCCCAGCATCCTGCCCCTCCTGGCTTGGCCTCTGGGAAGCACAGACCCCTGACGCCCACCTGAACTCTGTGCTGCGAGTCAGGGACACAGACATGCTGGCTTGAGCCCCAGGTCCTGAGCGTCGACCTACGAACCAGGAGGTCACAGTTCGATTCCTGGGCAGGGCACAGGCCCGGGTTGCGGGCTTGATCCCCAGTGTGGGGCATGCAGGAGGCAGCCAATCCATGATTCTCTCTCATCACTGATGTTTCTCTCTCTCTTCCAGTCCTTTCCTCTCTGAAATCAATAAAAATAAATTAAAAGAAAGAAAGAAAAAAGGACAGCCAATGTTTGTGGCTCGCCCTGTGAGCCCCTGCCCTGGCTGAATGCCTTCGCGAGCCATTTCTCCCGTAATCCTCACGCTGCTTCGGGAGATCAGTACGTAGAGTTGTACGTGAGGAGACCAACGCTCAGCCTGCGAGTCGGATCTGCCCCCGACGATGCAGAGAGCTGTGGGCTGGAAGGCAATAGTCAGGGGATCAGTACTGGGCTGGGGGAGAGGTGAGGTGAGGCAGTGGGAAGGTCAAAGGCTATGGATGCTCTGTGTGAGTTTGGGCCAGTGACTCAGACTCCAGGAAACAGGGACCTAACCAGGATGTGTTTGCCAGGAGTAAGTGAGCCACACACATCACAGGAACACTTAGCACAGGGCCTGGCCCATTCTAGGAGCAGTTCAATAACGCTGGGAGCACTTTGAACCAGCGGACATGGGCACCTTGGGAGATGCTGCCTCCTGGTGGTGATGCTGAGCATTGCGTGAAAGTGGACACGGAGGGACCTGACTCCCAGCATGCTCTAAGGCGGGGGTTCTCAACCTGTGGGTCGCGACCCCTTGGGCATGGGTTCTCAATCTGTGAACCCACAGGTTGAGAACCGCTGGCCTACAGAGAAGCTGGGAGCTGCCCAAGGCCGTGCGGATGGCCAGTGGCAGAGAGACAGCCTGAGTTTCTGGCTTCTCTGGTCCTGGAGGGCCCCTCTGACTAACTAGATGGGAAACAGGCAGAGCTCAAGGGGGTTGCGACCCACAGGTGAGAACCCATGACCAAGGGGGTCGCGACCCACAGGTTGAGAACCCATGCCCAAGGGTCGCGACCCACAGGTTGAGAACCCAATGGTTCTCGCTCATCATTGGTGTTTCTATCTCTCTTTCCCTCTCCCTTCCTCTCTGAAATCAATAAAAATATATTTTTTAAAAAAGAGCAAGGGGGGGAAAAAAGGAGACATATGTAATACTATTTGTAATACTTTAAGAAATAAAAATTATTATAAAAAAAAAATAATAATAAAAAAGAGAAAGGACCTCCAGATCCAAGGAACCAGAAAGGACAGAATAGCTGGAGTGAAAATTGGGGGTGAGGTTGTGAAAATTGGGGGTGAGGTTGTGCAGATCCTGATGCAGGAGCCCGGGCTCGGTTCTGGACGGTTTCAGAAGCAGTTGGCAAATAGAGAAGCTTGGAGGGAGGCACGCCAGAGCCGCTGCCCTCATGCTGGCCTGGAGGGGAGAGATAGGAGATGTGGGGGTAGAGCACTGGGGACAGAAGCGACTGGAGGGAGAGGGAGCAGCCAGGGAAGAGAGACAAGGGCCTGAGCCCGAACATCAGGTGCTGGGGCAGCAGCCACAGGTGGGCGCCCAACCTGGAGCAAGGGCTCCGGACAAGCAGGGGCTGCCTCCCAGGCCCTTCCCTTCTCCCTACCCAGCTGCCTCTGGAGAGGGAAGAGCAGACCCGGGCTGGGTCTGATCTGTGACCCTACAGGCTCTGAGGCCTCCCCTCCCAGAGGCGTGGGTGCAGGAGGCTGCAGCGCCAAGTGGACGCCCAGGCATCTGCAGGGGGCGCTGGTGGGCGGGGAGGGACCAGAAAGGCCCAGCGCTGGCCACGGCGAGTGCCACCTGGCCCGAGCAGTCAGCCCCCAGCCCTGCTCTCCACCACCATATCCCTGCTCATCCCCACAGGAAAGAAGAAAACGAAACTTCTCGAGGATTTATTAGACCAGGGCTGTCTTGCCTCCTAGTGCCCCGGGAATGGGCTGGCCAGAGACTCAGGCCTCAGGGTCCCCCACCGCGGCACCCCCAGTGCCTGCTGCTCCTCTGTCCAGCCACGCTGCCATGGGGTGACTTGGCTGAGCCTCTGGGAGTCCTGGGTCCCCAGCTTGCCAAGTGATCGTGGCCATATTCCTTGCCCTCCCTGGGCTCAGTCCCCTTCTCCTCCATGGGAGGATGTTGCTTTCCTGCCAAAAAGCCAAGGCTGGGCCCACCCAGTCGCACTGCCACTCGGTATCACGAATTCTGGGGTTCGGGGCTTGCCTCTGAGTCACTGCGGCGGCTGCTCCTTGAGGCCTTTGTCGTTGTTTTCATCCAATTCACACCCACTCAGGTGCCAGGGCCTTACGACCCCAAGGAGCCAAGCACTGAATCCCCAGACAGGAGGAGGAGGTTGGAAAGCAGGGAGTGTGCCAACCCCCGGGCCAGGTGCCAGGCTGTGGTCAGGAGGAGCTGGGCTTCTCCACTGAGGGGTAGATCTTGCGCAGGCTAGAGTCCAGGAGGAAGTCCACTGACCTGTGGGGCGAGGGAGGGTGATGAACAAGTGACCAATGGGGGAATGGGAGGCAGGAGGTCAGGGCTAGGGGGAAGGGACTCTCTGGACGCAGGGCACAAGTGCCATCCAAGTGGCAGCCATCACCCTCTTCTTTATTCCGTTAGGACAACTGAGGCACAGAGAGGGTACAAGACTCACTCACGGCCTCAGGGTCAGCTGTGTTCCATTGGAGAAAGACTCCTCCCACTCCATGTTGGTCTGGTTCTAAGTGCAAGCACATGACCCAAGCCTGGCCAATCAGAGAAGGGCAACTGGCTCAGGGGTGGATACCCAGTTTACAATGGACCAATGACAGCCTTCCTTGGGATTTTTGCTGTCACTAATAAGAAGATTCCCATGGGGCTTGCTAAGCTGGTGGGATGGAAGCTGGGAGCTGCTGGGGGCCATCTCTGCTCCCATGAGGGAAAAGTGTGAGTGAAGCCAATATGGGGAGGTGGTGGAGGAAAGGGCAGCAAGATGGGGAGACCCAGACCCCCTAATGACATCATTTGGGTGCCTAGATCCAGCCATGCCTGAAAGCAGCAGCTTAATGACTTTTCAGTTTCACAAAACAATTCCTACTTCTTGTCACTAACACCCTCCAGGTGCACTGCTCCCGCTGCTTCTGGTGTTTTGTAACACTACCTTATTATTTTTTTTTCTGGGAATTAACTAGTCCT